AAGAACGTTCACATCTTAGGGGTACCTGAAGGGAAAACAAGAAATCGAATATATATTTGAAGAAATAATGATGGAAACTTCCACAACCTGGTGAAGGAAATAGACATACAACCTCAGGAAGCTCAGAAAGTCTCAAAATTCTGGAACTCAAAGAGGCTTACAACAAGACACATCATAATTAAAATGCCAAAGATGAAATACAAAGAGAGAATCTTAAAAGCAGTAAGAGAAAAGCAGATAGTTACCTATAAGACAGTACCCATAAGACCAGCAGCTGATTTCTCAAAAGAAACTATGCAGGACAGAAGGGTTTGGCACAAAATATTCGATGTGATGAAGACCCAGGCTCTACAAGCAAGAATACTTTATCCACAAAGCTATTATTTAGAATTGAAGGACAAATAAAGAGCTTCTCCGACAAAAATAAACTAAAAGAGTTTATCATCACCAAGCCAGCATTATAGGAAATGTTGGAGGGACTTCTTTAAGAAGAAAAACATATATCAAAAACAGGAATAAAGAATGGTATTAACTACATTCCTATCAACAAGTACCTCAAATGGAAAAGAATTAAGTGCTCCAAACAAAAGATAGAGTGACTAAATGAATAAGAAAACAAGACCCCCTACATATGTTGCCTATAAGAGACTCACTTCGGATTAAAAGACACACACAGACTAAAAGGAAGGGGATGGAAAAAGACATTGCCTTGATGGACCTAGAGGGTATTGTGCTGAATGAAATGGATTGGATAGAGAAAGAAAAATATCAGATGATTTTATGTGCATGTGGAATCTAAAGAACAAAATCAACAACAACAACAAAAGTAGAAATAAACTCGTAGGTTCAGAGGATATCTAGAGGGATACTAAATGGGAGGGGGTTGGGGGGGATAAAAAAAGGCAAAGGGATTAAGAGGTACAAATGGATAGTTGCAGAATCGACATGGAGATGTAGAGTGTAGCATGAGGAAGATGGTTAATAATGTTATAATAAGAAGGAGAAAGAGGGGTGCTAGATTTAGTGGGGTGATCACTTTTAGAGTTATGTGGATCTCTGATCACTATGCTATACCACTGAAACTGGTATATTATTCTATGTCAACTATAAGTGAAAAAAACTCATTGAATTGTACAATGTAAATACAAGCAACTAATTGTCTATTATATTTCAATAAAGGCGAAGAAAAAAGAAAAAGTCGCTTTGCTCCCAAAAAACTACTAACTACTCCATAATAAGGTATTAAATGATAAATTTTAATTTATCAATAACATTCAATAATGGACTATTGTAGGGAGGAGAAAGCTTTTTTCTACCTTCTGGGTTTTTGCGTTTGATCTAATAATTAAATCTAGATGAGATAGTTTAGATTAACAAGACAAAATAACTAAATTTAGTTACATATGTATGCATAGGAACCCCATATACATGAGGGAGTCAGAGACCCCACATGCATGAGAGGTTCAGGGACATAAAGTTAAATTAAAAATATAAAATTAAAACAGTATCATTCTTCTCAACTAGTTTTTGTTGTTGTTTTGGAAAATATAGTTATTTTTCATTGAACTGTTATTTATATTAATGTATGATAGGTTCTTTATTGTTATTTTTAATGAATTAATATTTTAAAAATTTTGTTTTAATTTTTTAATACAATAAATATCAGTAGATATTATAATCCACATAGAGAAAAGGTCTTTGGGGTCATCATTAATTTTTAAGAGTGTAGCACGATCTGAGACAAAAAAAATTGGAAAACTTGTGCTATAGCATTTGCCACTGGTACACGCATATTTGTTCGAAGATTAATCATCCCTTCTACTCCTTGAATCAGAATTACTGGAAGCAATCAGGATGTTTAGATGGAAGAATGACCATCACTGCTGGATTGGAAATGGATTTTGAGAACTCCAATAGAGGGAAGGTGAAATGCAGCCAGAGGAAACATTCTGATTTAGCTTTGAGGCCTTCAAAATTGTTTTATAGCCCAAGCCATAGTAAGCGTAAGGAGTAGCCAAGGAGTAGAGAGAAATGTGCATTTGTTGAACTAAGACTTTTCAGTTCATTTGTTACTTTGAATGCACAACATTCTATAGGCCACCTGTCCATTCACAATCATAAAAATGTCTCTCCTAGCTACAGTTACATGAGATACTAGCAAAAGGGTCTCTTTGTTATAAAATACTAATTAATTGATGAACATTTGGATGCTTAACTCTATAAAAGGCATCTCATCGTTCCATCTCAAATATAGATTAAAATATTTTCTCTTATGTTATCTAGTTTTGTTTTCTGTTATAATTGTTTGTATCTTTTGGTCTCTCTTGAGGCCTTGTTCTTGTCAATTTATATGTGCTTTTAGTGATAGAAAAATGTTTCCTCTAGTTTGTTCTGTCTTTAATTTTGTGGACTTAGAAAAAAAAAGAATATTGCCCCCCCACCCCCCCACCACCACTGCTGCCCTCACATTATAAGTTCTTTGTGGACATTTTAAATAACTGTATAATATTTTATTAAGAGGAGGATCCTATTTTAACCTTCCCCTGTTTTGCCCATTTAGGTTTTTTTCTGTTTTTACTGTTTTAAACAATACTGCACTAAATATATCCATGCCCTTTTTTTTCTATTTAGAACATTTTCTTAGAGTAGCTTCCCAGAGGAAGAATTCAGATTACAGATATATTTTTAATGCATGGTTAAATAGTTTATTTCAGATACAAAACTCTAGTCACTATTGTTGTCGGCTACAATATTTCTACTAAAAGCAGCCATTTGATTACTTGTAGGACTCTGGCATATAGTCCCAGCACTAGGCTTTGAGATCACACTTAGCAAAGCCAGTGATTCTTCTATAAATGCCTCCCATGGGCTTTGTTAGGGGTTGGCCAACTTTTCTTATATAGGGCCAGATAATAAATATTTTAGGCTTTGCAGGCCACATGGTGTTTCTATAGCTATTCAGCTCTCAACTCAGCTACTCTATTGTAAAGTAAAAGCAGCCGGGGACTTTGTCAATGAATGAGTACGTCTGTGTTCCAATAAAACTTTATGGACACTGAAATTTAAATTTCATATAATTTATATGTGTCACAAAATATTCTTGTTTTTTTCCCCAACTATTTAAAACTGTAAAATCCATTCTTAACCTGCAAGCTGCACAAAAAATAGGCAACGGGCCAGATTTGGCGTGTGGGCCACGGTTTGCCAGCCCTTGGGCTGTATTATAGGTGACTTGGTAACAGACGTTTATTATACTGAGACCTCTGGATCTACTGCAATGATATGGTGATTTATCCAGAAAACCCTTAATTTCAGCGTGTATCTGATACTACCTTTCCTATTTTGTATTTCAGCTGGAGTTAACCGAATTTCATACTGGCCTGCTGATCCAGAAATAAGTTTGCTTTCTGGAGCTTCTGGTTCTGAAGATGCAAAGTTAGATGCCAAAGCGGTGGAGAGATTGAAGTCAAACAGTCGGGCTCACGTGTGTGTCTTACTTCAGCCTTTGGTGTGTTTCATGGTTCAGTTTGTAGAAGAGACCTCTCACAAATGTGACTTCATTCAAAAAATTTCAAAAACGTTGCCGGATGCTAATGTTGACTTTTATTCCGAATGTAGACAAGAAAGAGTAAAAGAATATGAAATGTTATTTTTGGTTTCAAATGAAGAACTGCATAAGCAAATTCTGATGACTATAGGTTTGGAAAACCTATGTGAAAATCCATACTTTAGCAATCTGAGGCAGAACATGAAAGACCTTATCCTCCTTTTGGCCACAGTAGCTTCCAGTGTGCCCAACTTTAAACACTACGGATTTTATTCTGGCAATACCGAACAGATTAATGAAATTCACAATCAAAGTTTGCCACAAGAAGTTGCAAGGCACTGCATGGTGCAGGCCAGGTTATTAGCATATCGAACTGGTGAGTTTCATGCTTAGTTCATAAATTGGGGCCTATTGGTTGGGTTGTATTTATCTCAGAAGTAAAGTGGGGTTCATCTCATCTGTGGTAGAGTTCATTTATTCTCAGATACTAAAGTTCACAACATAGAGAAGTTAATGACCTCGAGTACACAGCTCTTCTTTAGAGCAGTTTCAGGATTCCTTGTGGCCTTAAGTTTGGTGCTACATTTATAAATCAGGGCCTGATTAGCTAGGCTCTTCTTTCTGCTTCTTGCTTTTATTTCACTATTCATTGATCCCTCCACTAGAGATGGGACAAAAAGAGAGAACTCAATTATTCATATTTATTAACTTCAATATTTTATATGTATTTAATATTTAATAAAAACTTTAAAAAATTTTATAAAATATGACTCCAAAATAAGTAACAGAATCAAAGTAAAGGAATATTGGCAGATTATTTTAAATTGCTGCTATGTCTTCAAGCAGCAAGTTGAGAAATGAGGCATATGTACTTTATTAAGTTATACTTGAGTATGTATATGAAAAAGGAAAAGATTTCTTGGGAATTTATTGTGATAAAAGGTGCATCTGTATTTCCAATTATAGAACAGTGTTTTTACATCTCAACAGACATAAGATTTTTCAAAGTAGAATCATGATAACTTCTTAAAATGCAGCTTTGAAATAAGGGAAAATAGGCAGGAAGAGCAGTAGAGTAAAATTTAATGAGTGGACTATAGGATTTTTTTTTTTAACTTATCCCAAGAAAGAAGGAAAAGAGAGAAAAATCTTCAGAAAAGGTTTATACAAATGCCACTGGCTTGAAGTATAAGCTAAACAAAGACCACAGGTCAAAGTAATTTCAGTAGAATGGAGGGTCTCAACTGGTAGCATATCAGAATCACCATTGAAACTTTTATTAAAAAACAAATGCTCAAATTCCAGCCAGACTAAACCAAGTCCCTAAGGGTATGACCTAGGCTTATGAATTTTGAAAGTTCTGCAAGGAATTTGGATGTTCGGCAGGGTTAATAATCATTCAGTTCTTATGAAAGAATTTGATTGTGTTACAGGCGTAAGCTATATTATGCAAACAATTGTGTAGTGTAAAGTCTAATTTAATGTATCTTGTATCATGGGCTATACATTAGCCTCTGCCAAAACCAGCTTCATAAATAATTTTCTCTAAACCATTCTGGAAAGACAGAAACATAAATGGGAACAGCTGTCCCAGCTCCAATTCATGAATTCTCCTTTGCTAATTAGAATTCAGCAGATTCCAGAGTGAGATGTGCATCTGCTGTTCTTTTGATCTCAGTACTTTTTGCTTCTCATAGGGGAACACCTTATACCATACCATGTATGATTCCAGTGTTTAAAGATGCAGTAATGTATAATATAAATTTGCATATATTTTATGCAGTAATTTTGCATATCATCAATGCAAATATAAATTTATTTATATTTTTAATATTTATATATTTATTCATTATAAATTTATCCACCATTTCTGTGCAGAATTTTGTACATGAAGCCAGGCTTCTGTGCTTGATGGGCAATTTAAAAGATTTTTCAAGGTTAATTTTTTGACTGTGTATGACTTTTTTTGCCTGGAACCCAAATCCTGAATAAGATGCAACTCTCTGACATTCACTCCACTCCACTGTGAGCTCTTCCTAGGAAGAGACAGTATCTTCATCATCATTTTTTCCTTAGCACTAAGCACAGTGTATTTAATGGATAAAGGATATCTTTTTATATCCTAAGACATGGTCCACAATCCTTCATCCAAAAGCCTTGAAATCCAATGAAAAGGAATTCAGAATTTCTGATTTTAGAAAGGTAATATGTTACATATACTGTATATTACACAGCACTGACAGAGATCTGGGGCAGTACCTGTAATCAAACATAGATGTGGAGTAAAATGTATGAATATTTGAATTAACTATTTGGTCAGGTGTAACCAAAAATAAGTACATCGAGCTGTCAAAAAAAGCTTGATATAAGGGATTTCAGATAAGGAATGCTGGACCTGTATTCTTCATTGTTGATAAATATTTATTTTTAACAATTAAGCACCTACTATGTGTCAGGCGCAGAGCTAGGCTATTTATATACCTTTCTCATTTAACATGGAGAACAATCCAGCAAGGTAGCTATCCCCATGATAAGAATGTGCTAATAACTCAGACTTTTAATTTCACATTGTTCAGCTTGCTTTGATAACTTTATTTTACTCTAATTAATAGATGAACAAACCATTCAATTAAACCATTTCATTTAAAAATATACATATGATTAAAATGAATTTTAAAATCTCTAACAACAGAGTTCTAAAAGTAATTGAAAGTAGATACTTAACAAATTGCTTTTTGAATGATAAAGAAATAGGATCCAAAAAGGTGTCATTAAAATTATGTTTCTACAATACTTTGAGGTAGCAAAAAGGTGACAAAATTTGTTTAGGCTTCGGAGGGGAAAATAGAGTTAGGAGGGCATCACCTCTTATCTACCTGGTCTAAGTGTGATGTTTGATCTCTTTTGGGTCCTGTTTTCCCATTAGACTAGGTGTTTTCCAAAGCTGAGGATTATGCCTTCTTCCTGAACCACAGTGTTGATGATGAAAGTAGGTTGGAGTAGCCAAGAAAGTTAACTGTTTCAAATTATGACTGCATGGTTCTCAACTTTTAGTACATAAGGGATGTTCTTGATAAATGCAGATTCCTGAGTGTGCCCATTTTCTGTGGGGAGATTGATTCAGGGCGTTTCCATGTGAGATTGGAGTCTGTCTTTTTAAGAAGCACCCAGTGATTCTGACACAAGTGGCCTGTGGACCACACTTGGACAAACCCTGATGTGACCACAGAATTGGGAGCTAAAATAACCTGTGTTCCAGAACCTTAGGATAGAGTTCTCTGACTTTCAGTGATCAGAGTCTCAGGAATTTGGCTCAGTGATTATAAGCTGACCTTTCCCTTCAAAGGTAACAGAGAAAACCTGTGACTGACCTGAGCAATTTCTGTAAAAATTACAGACATGAAAAGATTTTTGAGAAATTACCTTATCTGTCAGTCAACCTTGGGGCTTGGTGAAATATACTCCATCTAACATGGATGAAGTTTTATTCTGATTTTAAAAGACTTATAGTAAAGGATATTCTCTTGGTGTGACTAACCTTACCTAGGCAGTAGAGCTGCACACTGGTAAAAAATCACATTTTTTCCCCTCCTGACAAGGTTTAGTCTATCCCCAGACTAAGACAGAAAAAGTGGCTCCTGAGGCTAAAAAACAAAACAAAACAAAACATGAACAATACTTAATATAGATGGTAGGAAAAGTAGGCTCTTAATATGAAGAATTTCTATTTCAGTTTTTCATTTTTTGTTTCAAATTGAGGCATGCATTAAGTACAGCTTTACTTCCAGTAAAGTTTTGGTTTTGCAGGCATATATAAACTTACGTTTATAACTTCTGCCACTTGTCTTAGAAATGAGCATAAAGCCATAATTGTATTCTTTTCTCCTCTTGTTTTATTCTGAAGGTCCTGGAAGGAATAACATTTTGTTTACACCAAAATTCATTTCATGACAGTCCCCACTGTAGAGTAAGCCCTTCTCCCTACCCCATTCCTCAGCAGCGTGTTCGTTTCCTTCACAGCACAGCACAGCACAGCACAGCACAGCACAGCACTTAAGTACTTACGTGTTTCCTTGTTCCTGTCTTCCTTACCAAACTGTAAGTTTCATGAATATAGGGACTTCTGTTTCTCTCACCACTCTACACTCTGTGATTCAGTAAAGGGATATCTTTGTTACAAAATTCTTAACTTAAAAGGAGGAGTGGAGGAAAGGCAAGTAGGTTGGGTCTGGAGGGCTAAATTTTAGTCAATTTTTTTGCCTGTTTTCTCATCGAGAAAAGGAAATTTTATCTGCTTTACCTTTATGGTAACATTGAGATAATGGGCAAAAAGCATTTAAAATAAATTAGGCAAATGCTTCATGGTATAATTTTGAAAACCCAAGCTTGCTTGAAGTTGGGGAATTTAATTATAGTATCATAACTTTAAAAAATTAACTTATTTAGGAGGCACCCTAGTTTTTAATGCATAGGTAGAATAAAAGGTTTTTTTTGTATTTTTGTTAGAAAAGTAAATATTTAAATGTCATCATTAGAAGTATAATTTTTAGGAATTTGTAGGGTGAAGCCAATTTTGTTTAATCCACATCAATATGAAAACACCCTAGAGTAAGTCCACAGGTACTTGTTACTTTCTCTGTGTTCCTCCTCAGCTACATTTATTCCTTATTAAGATTTTGATAAATACTATGGTTTTCACAATTAGTGTGTAATTGTCTTAGAAATTTGAAACTCGCTCTTGTGTTAGTAGAAGGAAAAAGCCTTTCACATGTAGAATTTTTATTTTGTTTCTTCTGTTTCAAATTAATGATTTTAAGAAGTATACAGCTTGTTGCAGAGATTTTGGTTCTATAGGAAAATTATAATCTTATAACTTCTACCATATGATTTAGAAATGAGCATCATGTCACCAACTTGGCATTTGTTTCCCCCTAAAGACAAATTATGGAGGTAATGGAAAGGACAACATTTTAAATCAAAATCAGTTTAAATCAAAATCCCTTTTATGTACTTTCCAGCTATCTATCTATCTATCTATCTATCTATCTATCTATCTATCTATCAATCATCTATCTATACATATACATATATATGTACATACATATATATCCCATAGAGATTATGGGATATATTATAAATTTATGTTTGTGTTATAAATATGACCATTTTTCTTAGCAAAAACGTTTGCATAAAATATGTTTTTCATGATTAGAGTGTAAAAAATGCTAGAAGACAGATTTGATTGTTTCGAATGGTTATTACATTAAAACTATTAGTTCAGAAACTTCTTTTTTAATAAATTTTTTCATCTGTTAGAAACTGATTGGTGGAGAATCAATAATTACACTCAGTTCTGGTTACAGCTTTGAAGCGACCTGACTGTGGCACTGCCATTTTAATGATCTTTGTACGTAGATCACGTGTGACTAGGTTGGTACCAAATTCTCATTTTCCTTGCTTTAAAGTATTTATTTTAGTGGTTTTCTATAATTAGTGAGATGTCAAGGATTGCTGCTACATTTATGAAGTATGTTTCAATAAATGTTTCTATTATTTTTGGAAAAATGTATTTCTGAAACTAATAAACCATTGATTTTTACTGAGTTAAATGCCATTTATCTTTTAGAGGATCATAAAACAGGAGTTGGAGCAGTCATTTGGGCAGAGGGAAAATCTGTAAGTATTAAAATAATTCTTTAAACATTTAACCTTGATTTTGTTTAAACATAGTTCAGCCTTAAGTGCATTACATTTTATTGACCTGTTAGCATTAATATTTTGTATTGGTGCATTTCTTATATCCTGTAAACATTTCCTTATTCCCTCAACAATTTTCTGGACAGAATCACTTATTTAGCAAACAGTTATTAAACAGGCACTGTGCCACAGTGAACAGTGGGGAGCTAAAGACCACATTTTCTCCCTTTTGTAGCTTTCTGTGGTCTAGTATAGACAGAGAAGTGAAAAAGAGACTGGTGTATAAGTGTGATTATAATACGATACTGTGAAAGCACAGAGGAGGAGACTTCACTCCACTTGAAGAAATGAAGAAAATGTTCTTGAAGGAGATAAGATGCTATTAGTCTGGAAGAATGAATAGGAATTCACTAGGCAGAGCAAGTTTGTGGGACTGGGGGCAAAGTACAGAGGTAGGAGGTATGAGAAGAGAATGTGGGGAAATGCAAGTGATTTGGTATGTTCGAGTCCAGAGTCCTATGTATAATAGTGTGGCAGAAAAAAATAAAAAATAAAAAATTGGACTGGACCCTGAAGAACTTTGTATGTCATGGAGAGAGTTTGGACTTTATCCCTTAGACAGTGGAATACCCTAGCACAATGCTAACCTATAGGCATAAAAGGCAAACCACATAATTTATAATTTATATTTTAAATAAAAGAAACAGGTGAATTAATTTTAAGAATATATTTTAATCTAATATGTCCAGAAATATTTCAACATGTAATCAATATAAAAGATCATTAATAAGATATTCTGTATTTGGGGGGAATATTGTCTTCAGAATCCTGAGTATATTTTACACTTAGCACCTCTCAATTTGTACTAACTACACGTGGCTGTGCCTACTGTATTAGATAGTGCAATCCAAGAATCTTTTAAGAGGGAAAATGATTAGATAAGATTTGCATTATATAAAGAGTAAGGTGGGGCTAGACAGGAAATAGGGAGATTAATAAAAAAGAGATGATGGAGATGGGTTAGGAGGGCATGGAATTAAGAGATACTTAGTAACTATGTATGAGAGTCTAAATTTTGCTTCAATAGACTTTCCAGCAAGTAATTTGACTATTTGCTTGTATATTTCACAAATCTTTCCAGTTCAGCCTAGCCAATACCTTCCCTGCTAACCTATTCCTTCATCAGCAGTCACAATCCCAGGGAGTTCCTTGTTATTCCATACATCCAGTCCATCACCAAGTACTATGGAGTCCACCTTCAAAATATTATCTATAGTGTCTACAGCATGGTGTAGGGGAAAGACATGGGTTTGGAGTCAAGCTACCTGGGCTTGAATTCTGGCTGTATTACTTACTAGCTTTGTGATCCTGAACAAGTGATTTAATTTCTCTCAGCCTCAGTTTCTTTATCTACAAAATGGGAATGATAATACTACTACTCTCTAGGTTGTGAGGTTGATTAAATGAAAAAATACATGTAAAACTC